GCAGCGGCCAGAGCTTGGTCAGTCCCCAGGGCTGGGTCAATCCCCAACGGTTGGAGCAGTATCTGGGGCCAGAGCAGCCCTGATGACGAGCAGCGGCTGGACCTGGAGCAGCGGCCAGAGCTGGGTCAGTCCCTGGGACTGGGTCAGTCCTGGGGGCTGGGTCAGTCTCTGGAACTGTAGCAGCCCTGGTAGCTGGAGCAGCGGCCAGAGCTTGGTCAGTCCCCAGGGCTGGGTCAATCCCCAACGGTTGGAGCAGTATCTGGGGCCAGAGCAGCCCTGATGACGAGCAGCGGCTGGACCTGGAGCAGCGGCCAGAGCTGGGTCAGTCCCTGGGACTGGGTCAGTCCTGGGGGCTGGGTCAGTCTCTGGAACTGTAGCAGCCCTGGTAGCTGGAGCAGCGGCCAGAGCTTGGTCAGTCCCCAGGGCTGGGTCAATCACCAACGGTTGGAGCAGTATCTGGGGCCAGAGCAGCCCTGATGACGAGCAGCGGCTGGACCTGGAGCAGCGGCCAGAGCTGGGTCAGTCCCTGGGACTGGGTCAGTCCCCAGGGGCCAGAGCAGTAGTTGGGGCTGGGTCAACCACCAGGGCTGGGTCAGCAGCCAGGACTAGAGCAGGACCTTGTCAGCTGGAACAGTGGCCGGAGCTGAAGCAGCCCCCACAGCTGGAGCAGTGGCTGGGGGTGAGTTAGTCCTCAAGGCCGCTGGAGCAGCGGCTGGGACTGGAGCAGCTGCCAGAGGTAGCCCTTGGCACCAGGGTTCGGACTGTTAGTCCCTTCCCACCTGGGTATTTTTAGTAAAAGTCAGGGACAAGTCATGGGCTTCTGTGAAATTTTGTTTATTGCCTGTGACCTGTCCCTGACTTTTTTACTAAAAATACCCACGATGAAATCTTAACCTTAGTCATGGTTATAGAACCAGCTGCAACTCTGTGACCCATCTGGTCTCTTGAGTGCATCCCCACAGGTGCCAGGCCTCATACCTTTACTTCTCTGGGAGTGATCTTGAATCCAGCCAGGAGATAGAATATTGTTGGATTCAAGATGTAGAATTTGTAAAGCTAATAGTTCAGGCATTGTCTCTTAACACTTAAGTGATTACCAAGGGGTGTCTGATCCTGAGCCATTGCTTCCCTTCTGGGTTGTTTTTCCTACCAACCCTACTACTAAAGTAAACCAACCAATTTATGCAGTAAACATCCCAATAATCAGATCAATGTACAATATTTATAAATTATTACAGTGCAGCTCTAATTATGTTGCAGAGGTAATTCACGTATTTCTGGGCTTAATGTATCATTAATTTGTATTTTTGAAAAAGAGCCTAGACTATTGTGTCAAGGCTCTTTGTCCAATGTAGAAAATCAGCCAGATTATGTTCATATTCTGGAGACTTCAGCATTTACCACCTCCCCTACTATCCACGATCACATGAACGAATTCCCTTCCCACTGGTGATTGAATAACTTTCCTGTGTCAGCTATAGCAATTGCTTACGTGGAAAGTGATATTAGGAAAGTGTTTAATGCGGTTTTTATCTATCATTTAATGCAACTGGAAATAAGGAGGAAGAGTCACAACCATGTGACCAAACTTTGGGAATCTCATTTGTAACATTAATTTGGCTGGAAACATGGAAAATACCAGTCTGCTATTGAACACTAGGACTGATCCTTCAGCCTTCTCCCCTGCCAATTAAAGAGAGAACAAAATGACTATAGCTTGCATGGAAGGTAACAAGAATGAAAGACCTTGAAAGTGTTGCAGTGTGTATGGAGGCACTGAGCAATATTCTACATGTGCATCCATACCACCAGCCATATGACCTCCAACCCAATCACAGAAGGGAGAGACAATTTAGTATTGACCAGGGTGATAGTAAAGGCCGTGAGCACTCTCTAGTGAAAGGGTGGGGACTGATGAAGAACGAGTACCGATGACCAAGCGTAGCTGGAAATGACCTCTGAGTTTTATAGGGAGCTCTTGGTAGGAGGGGAAATATTCAAAATTCAGGGATAAAGGCAGTTCAGTTAGTCCAGGTGTCCTGAATACTAAAAATCAGCCAGCACTAGTATCCCTAAGAAACCACTGATGCAACCAACTAGCACCATTAACAGAGTACTATTTTATATTAATCAGACAAAACAAGACCAATCTGCTTGCAAGATCTATCAGCCAAGTGTAGATTTTAGGGCAAGAAAAGAAATCAATAAATTATGCTGGCCTTAAAAAGACACTGGTGAAGGGGAATAGGGCCTGTAATGGAGACAGAAGGCATGAAAGCTGAGGACTAGTAGCTAAGGGCAGGCTAAACAACTGGGAGGGAAAAACTGTCTCAGCACTGATGATTCCTACATTCTCTCAAGTTTTCAAGTTATGGCCTCATTTTTCTCCCCACTATAAAATATGGGCCCTTAGTAAATTTAGACCTTTGCAGCTAATGGTCATGGAATGCTCCTGACCAAGACACCAGGTCATACAGTACTAATCAGGAATGAATGTTCTTAATCGTGCTACAGAATATAACCTTGCCACAAGATCAAACAAATGGTAATAGTGAAGTTATATGGAGCAGTTTCCCCCCGCCCCCAGACATTGTAGTTTTGCTATTTGATATGATGAAACTAGGCTAGAGCAAAATTTTGCTCATCTTCCATTGAGAGTGTAGCAAATTTCCCCCTCCTTGGACAATGATATAGTTGTTAAATGAGCAAAAGCATCCACAGTTGTCTCAAGAAAGAAATTAAGAAATTTAATAGATTTCAAATCACCTAACTTTAAAATCTGGAAATAGTAGCACTGCTGTGAAAATCTACTCTGCAGCTCTACTGTGGTTTTGAGAAAATCTTTCAGTATATCAATGGTTGCAGTTGGCCCTCAGTTTCCTATCATTCTTTAGATATAAGTCCACAATTGTATAAAGCTTGTAACCAAAAGCTAAGTTACCAGAAATATTTAGTGCAGATATCTTCCAAATTTCTTAAACTTTTTCATCAATAGAGCACTATTTTAATGGTAACTATTATCTGCCAGCCAAACGTTAGAGCTGATTTAATCAGTTAGCAGAGACTATCATCCAGTGACTGAATTTTCTGTCTCTGTCCTGATCTTGATCGAGGGCTCTCATGGTCTGTAGAGACAGCAGGGTGAGCCAAACAGACCTGGTTGCTTGAATGTGCAATTATTTGAATATTAACAATAGCTGCAATAGTGTATGGGGCTCTGTTAATTGATTAAATTCACCTTACTCTCACATTGCTAAGATGCAGATACAGCATGTAATTTCCTCCCTCTCTCTCTCTCTCTCTCTCTCTCTCTGTGTGTAGTATATATATAGTAAAAGTCTTCGTAGCATGTAGACTACAACAACATTTAACCCAGATGCAGAAAGGAAACAAACAAACAAATAAAAACCCAAATGTTCCTAGTGATGTATCTATTTGAGACTTGGCAGCAGCAAGGAATGGCTGCACATGTATGGTTTTGTGAGCTGCACAACAAGCTGTCTCAGATGACCTGTCTAGGGTTGTTTATCAGAGGTGGCCACCTATTGAAAAAGAAGAAGAATTGTAATTGGGGCGTATGGTGATATTTTGGGATGGCCTCCTATGAAGGGAGGTTGCCTAGTAAGTTTGTTCTTTTGTACAGGTTTAACTCTATTAAAATACCTATCTTTAGCCACTTAGAATACCACTGACAAACAGATTATCAGCCTTCACTTATTTGAATTGGTTATTCCAGAACTTAATGGCAGTGACACTAGCTAAGGCCAGATACTTCCACTTGTTAGGTGTCAGACCATCTTGAAAGCATATCGAACTTATCTGAAGGGGACACCCCTGTAATAATACACAACTCAAAAAGATGTAAGAGCTATATACCCTCGCTCTGCAGCAGGGCTCTCCTATTGTGTTCAAAGAGAATTTCACATTAAATTAACAATAGGAGACGAACCCTCTTTCTAGCTTGTTCATTCCATTTGTGCTGCCCAAGTGTACACGGGGACTGGAAGCCAGATGCATCTCCCCAGCGGAGGATTCCTCTGGCTTTGGGGAGTCTGCATAGGCACCTCCTATATTACATCCTGCACCCGACACAGAAGTTTGTTGGGGCAAGAAGGGTTGTTGTGGAAGTGGTGACCAAAGTGAGCTGAACTCTGTCCATTCCCAGCTGGTGGGCAGCCCCTTGGGACATCTAAAGGCAAAGTTAGACCTAC